TTTTTGTAAACATGATTTGTTGCAATTGTGTGAAGATACATGTTATAGTATTTTGCTTATAAAAATCTCGATTTTATGGTAAAGAATTCTTTTAATAAAAAATGAGAGAATTTTGACTTTTACAAAATTGCCATGTCGAAATTTACCTAAATTAACCCGATTTTTATGCAATCCGATTTTTTTAATAAACAATTAATTTGTTGCAATTAGGAAAAAATACATGCGATAGTATTTTACCTAATTCAAAATTCTTGATTTTATGATAATTAGTTTTTTAATTAAAAAAAAATAGAAAGAATTTGACTTTTGCAAAATTGTAAGCATCAGTCGAAATTTATCTAAATCAAATACACAATACCCATAAATTTAAGGTGCATATATAGCTGATCTATTTTTTGGGAATAATTTAAAAAGAACATTAAAAAAATTGCCGAAAATAAAATACAATAAATATTAGTTGATTTTTCTTGTTACTATTTTTTAGTAAATATATTCTCTTATATGTATAGATGTGCATATTCATTGTATTGTGCATGTTTTAGCATCACACAATCAACAAAGTATAACACTAGCATGATTTATCCTAAAATATTAGCTTTCCAATATTTTATTTTAGTTGCTACATAGAAACCATTATACTATGTATTTCATGAACGTTGTTTTGAAGCTACTTGTCGACATTTTAACTTTTGAGCTATGAACATTATTTCACCAGATCCGTGGATATATAATGCAGATCTATAAACTCAAAATGTGCCTTTTTTTTTTAAGCTCAACCATCCATTTCTATTGCTCAATGCATCCGCGTCAACGACGTTTGAGGACACAGCTCGTTACATCCTAGATCTCTTTGGAAACAGGGTGTTGAAATTTCTTTCAACAGTTCAAAATGTAGAGATTTGTTGCTCAGGGGAGATTAGCTATAGGAAATACACGATACTCGGGATTCAAGAACCAGCTTGATGAACACATTTGCCACAAGTGCTGCACGCACCTTTCTTTTCTCATGGGTCACACTACTAAAGTACCTAATTACGAAAAGGACTGCGTGTTCAGAGGTCTCTACAGAACAAATAAGAAGACAACAACAGCAATAATTTCAAGTCCTCTTGCGCTTGAGGGTTTTGATCTGATTGAAGATGTAGTTGATGACCTCCTTGAGCGTGGCCTTGCGGTTCTCCTTGAAGTTCCACAGCTCAGGAACCACATAACAGCCGCTCGGGTTGTACTCTTGCATCTCCATCAGGGCCGTGATCACAGCATCGTATATCTCTTCTCCCCACTCTGCCCGGAGCCCACGCAGCTCCTCGTCCTCCTCCTTTAACTCGTTCTACAATACATCAAATGAAATTATGCCTGGTTTCAACCTTTCAAATAATTACAAATTCCTTCACAAATCCCCAATGGCTTCTTCTTTTTTTCTTTTTTTTTTTT